TGGTAAGAGATACGTCTTAGTAAAATAATATAAAGAATATCCCCTTCAAATTCTTGGCTCTGAAATTTAACTTCAGGTTCTTTTCCTAATACCAGAGAGACCAGGCAAAGAGGTGTTTGTACTTACTTTAAGCTCAATAACAGAAGAAGATTACCTACTTCCTATACCATTTAGTTCTTAGAGAATCGTATTATTCATACTCTACCAAATTATGTATTTTTAACAACCGAATGCTTCTGAAATTATTTTATCTAGGGTATTGGTTTTTTAATGTAAGAATGCTCTTGAACTGAAGACAGTTGTAGTAATAAACAGAACACTTGTCTTCAACAGTTCTATAGCTCAGTGTGCTTAATTTTTGGTAATATGATCAGCTGCAGAATTTGTACGTTTCAAACAAGTTATCAGGCCTGCTTTTGTAATTTATGCTTTGACTACTACATAGCTCAATTGACCTCCCATCTACAATGTTTATTGGTCCAGAGCAAAGATCAGAAATGTCACAAACAATATAAACAAACAAAAAGCATAGGAAAGCTCTTGAGAGCAGAAACATTTAAATTAGCTTTACTTCCCAGGGCAACAATTCCTAGTTCTGGACCATCAAACAAAGGCCAGCTAGAGGAATACAAGGCTGCCAACACATTTTCTTTGAGGTTATAGCCAGAGTGAAAAGGAAATAGCCCAGCAAAATGACATCAGAAGTGGCAGTTTGGTACTAAGTCCAATATACAAACCCTGTAATGAATCTCAAATGACAGATCATGTCTCAAATGTCCATCATTCAATCTCCACTCAGTGGGCTATTTAGGATGTGAAGAGCTGCGACTGATAGGAAAAAAAAAAAGCAATCATTATACAAGCAGATTTATTGCTGTGAAAATGCTTAGATTTTTCTGTTTCTAGCCAAACCGATCTCTTGCTCATCTGAAAAATGGGTTATAAAGTGTTCTAATAACAGCAAATCAGATAGGGGGTGAGTTTGAAGGCATACATTTACAATGGATAATAAACTAAACCTTCCACAGAGATTGTTTTTAGCGCTGTCAGGTTTCTGCCATCCTCTCTGTTATGACAATAGTGCATGCAACAGAAACTCTCTGTGCTAGACAACTGACAAGTGCAAATCATTCAGGAGTCTATTAGGCACATGGGGATACATTTGTGTTGCTCATCAATCTGGATGGGCCCCAAAAATACCAATTGCGTTATGTAGGTCAGCCAGAGTGCAGCGCATTGCATGACAAAAAAAGCCACAATACAGTCAAGGAACAGGCAGGTACTTTGACCTTTATTCTCCACTGGCCTTTATCCTATTTTTTGGCTTACTTTACTGCTGTTATTTTTTATTTCTTTTCTGAATCTTAATTAAATTCTTCTTAGTCTTGCTAGCTTGACTGTTTTTAAGAATGAAAGAAGTCTGTTTATCAGGCCAGTTTTGTACAGTATCACTGATCTATATATAATTTATATGTCATTAATGCACAATATTCAAGTAAATTTTTTTAAATTTTAATCAAGAGAATAAAACAGGCTTTCCAATTATTTTGAAATCAATTATCATTAATCACATATCATACTTCTGATTTTCACAGCTGTATAATAATAGAAAAATCTTAGTTTGCATCTAAAGATAAGAGTATTTAGCTCTGAACCAGATCACATTGGAAGCTCTTAATGTTTGCAGCCGGGTGAGAACTGGGTCCATACTAAAATTCAGAATGCAATTTGCAACCACGGCTTATAACAGCCTTCAAATGTGAATTCCTTTTCTTTTTGCCTTTCCAATTTTCTTTTCTCACACAAACTCAAATTATACTCATTCAGCTTTATCAGATCTATTCTCAGATTGTACTGTTGCAACTGAGAACAGAATCAGACCTCGCAATGCACTTGGTCTTCAAAATAATTAGCTTCATCTTATACAGCTCTCCATTTATGTCAAGCTGCATGTGCTGCCAGGACTTATAAACTGATTAGGTTTATACGTTGTACATAGGTTATATAGCAGAGTCCTTTAGTTTCACAGCAAGGATTACCCTGATAATACAGAGCCTTATAAAGCGCCACATTTGTGTAAATCATGTGCATAGAATCCACGTATACAGACCCCAAATCCTTGACCAGCCAGAGTAAGTTTCTCCAATCATCACACTGTGCAGTTTTAAAAATAAAGTGCTATTTGTTTATGGCTAAATCTTAAATGTGTCTATTGCATGCACGCTTCGGACTGTAGGGTCAAAACTGGAACACCTTCACCAATAAAGGATGGAGCCTAATCCCTAGGGCAATGAAAGATTATATTTTTCCGTTTTATTTTTTGTTCCAATAGAACTTTTGTCAAACACAGAGTATGTTGAACACACAGCAGTTTCCTTCATTGTTTCCCACACAGAGCTGAGCTGTTCATAGAGGAGGAATACTAAGAAGGAATGTTTTTGAAGTAATAGATAGCTTCTACATTTCTTTCTTTCTTTCTTCTTTTCTTTCCTTCTCTCTCTCTTTCTTTCCTTCCTTCTTCTTATTTTTTTTTAATATTATAATAAAAGTATTATAAAGAAAATCTCTTTTTTAAAAAAAGTACTGTGAATATCAAATTGTATCCATCAGTCCCTGAATCATGCTATTCAAAGTGCTTAAATTTGCATTAAAATAGAACAGAAAAGTATTCCCCGTGTGGCTAAGGAACAAACTACCTAACACTGCCTAAAAATGACTGTGGTCAGATAGATACATTCTACATTTATTCCACATCCCAGTCTTTTCTACAGGGTATGTAAGAGGGAAGGAAAATGAAGGAAAAAAGAAAAAAAAATTGTTTTTAGAGGGTACTGGTACATTCGACATTCAGTTGAATGAAGAAAAATGCCATCAGTGCCTGACAGGTGTCTGTAAGAGTGAATAAATAATAGCTTTCTTACACTATGAAGAAAACAAAAGTGCAAAGCTCTTTTAGAATTTCATCTGGCCTGGCAGCTTCATTTCCATTTTGTGGACATTTGGCACATGTCCAGAGGGAGACACCATGATAGATGGTAGAAAAGGATTTGAGCAAATTGTCAGAGAAATGAACATTTTAAAGCAAGCAAAAATCAGTGCACATCCCAAAGCTCTATTGGCTTGTTATGCACATACTGAGACTTCTTGACTTTCACAACACGATCATAGTTACATCCTCCCACGCTGTCAGTTCTGGATTACTCCCACAAACATCCCCCAGACTGCAGTTTACCTCTTCTCTACTCATTACTTCTCATTAAGAAGACCAAAATATTATAAGCTGTACTTTTCTCCTTGAGACAATTAAGATGGACAAACCCCACACATCCCTTATATTGGCTAATATCAGTCAGCTACCATAAAAATTCCTAAAGCTAATTAATTGCAGAAACAGACGATCAGGTTTGTCTGCCAGGCTACCAGCTACATTTTTTGCCAGAGTCAATCAAACCCACGACTCTATGAGAGTGTGCTGCAAGCAGCAATTCTGCCTCTGCTCTTCTGCTCCTGCTAGCAGAGACTGGCAGACAGCTTGGCCTGAATACCGTGTACAGCTACAACAGTGCTCTGTGCTCTTTCTCAAACCATAAAGGACTCTTCCTTTATTTAAAATATAAGTCGCTTGGTTCATTTGTCTTAAAGATGCCCAGATATAAAGACAGTGGTTTGTTTCTTCCCTGGCAACCATGGTAAACGCATTATCTGCAACTCCTCAAAGATAGAAACATACATAAAAAATAAAACTAATTTATTTATTCATTAAAGTGAATAAATTGTTTTTAATACTTCAAAGTCTTATTTAAATATTAATTTTGTATAAATAAAGTTTATTCTGAAAACAATTATATTTGTTGGTGTTCATGTTTCTTTTTTTTTTCTTTTTTGCCTGAGTTCTTACTGAAATCATGTTAAAATTAAGCTTTACTTATTGTTACAAGCTAAAACCAAATTAAATAGTATTTTTTCATCTTGAATATATCGTTTTAAAGCAAATACAATTTTGAACATTAAAATACAAGGGGACTCTGCAATCCACAGCAAAATAATGTTTTGCTCTTCCTTTTTCAGAAAATAACACTTTCTTTAATACATAATGGCAACCATCTAAGATACTGCCTTTTTATTCCCCTTTGGTTTGGAAATCATCATTGTAAATATCAGCAGGACTCACTGCACTTCAGTGCCTATTGCCTGACTTGTCTTGCTTTCCTAAAAATTGGAAATAATCTTATTTGCAGGGTTTTTAAAGGAGGGAAAGAAAAAAGTCAAATGCTTAAAAATAAAATCCACGACCACATTAATACTTTTCCAGGAAGTGTTAAAAATAGGGCTTGCTTTTATATTTATAAAAGGGGTACAATTGACTCATTCTTAAAACAAAAACAAAAAAATAAATCCCCCAAGAAAGCAAAAATCAAAACATCTCTATTTTCTACACGTTCTGTAGTGACTACTGTGAAGCAACCGATACAGATTGGGTATAGTCTGTTTAACAAGTTTCTACCAAGTTAAATGTTAGATGATCAGACTGTAGTGTTACCCCAAATGGGGCCATTGTAAGAGCAGGGAGTGATGCACATTACAGGGGAAGAAATGAAACAAAGGCTCTCAGTGAGGGATGGGATCATTCTAAGAACAAATATTACCCAAAACAGGTGAATTGCAGCAGGCATGGCCTTCAGGAATCAGGCTAGGCAGGCCAACAAAATGGATGGCGCATCTGATATTAACATAGCTTTGTCCAAGCATTCCCAAGAGAGGTTAAAAACAAACCAAAAAAAAAAGTCTAAAACTATACTAATGAAGCCAAAAAGTTTCCTATCTATACAGCAGTCTCTTCATTAAAAAAATGTAAATATACAAATTCCAATGACATATAAAACAAAGTCGAAAATGTGTATGGGAAGAGAACATGGGTAAAACAGGAAGACCGATGCTACAAAGAAATTGCAAAAAACGTATGTACAAGACCCTGTTTTTCCTCATATATTATCGATTGTAATGCATGTTTAACAGCAGCAGTCGAGGATGTAGTTCCAGGCACCGGACTGCAGACTCAGCTTCTACTCAAGGGGATGGACAGCCCCTTGCATTTCCATCACCAAATGACACTTGATATACTGGTCTCCCGTGGCAAGAGGGGCAGTATCGCACTGTTTGTGTGAGCCTCTTCTGGATTCTGCTCCCTGTTAGTTTTTGTCTGTGGCCGCTGCCCGTTTATAAGTGTCATAGGGATGTTGCAGTAGGTATGCTGGTTACCTATTGAGGTAAGCGGCAGGGTGCCGGTAGGAGGTACATCATATTCATAGCTTCGATAATAGTGTTTCTGGCGCATCTGTGAATGATATGTGTTATGAAAGGTGGAGCGTAGATCTGGATGAGCAGTGGCAAGAGCAGTAGAGGTGGCAGCAGCCATTGAAATTGCGGAGACTGTCTGCAGTTCCCCAAAGGGCCCCTGCTCACTGACATCTAAAACCTGCTCGTGTGTGATGGGTTCAGTCCTCTTAAAAGGCATTTCGTACTGTAAACGTTTCCAGAATTTGGAATTCAACTTGTTGCATTTTGGTCCATGCCATTTAATGACAGTGAGGAGCTTGATGGTATGTTTCAGGGCCTCAACCTCCTGATAGTTCATAACTCCTCGCAGTTCACTGCATTCAATCAGTATCACTTTAATTTCTCCTGTGACTAACATGTTCCGAAGCCTTGTTTCCAGTTCAAAGATGCTCCAGCCTCTTCTTACCACATAATTTGGGGTCATGACGATGATCAGTCGCTTGCTTTGGTCTACACATCTTGCCACGTCTTCAATGTAGGCTACAAAATAAGACAATTGCTCAAAAATCAAGGCAAGAAAATATTTCATTCCCATAGGCTGGAGAGAAATAACAGAAGCAAACCCCCTTCTCCCAGAAAAGTTCTCTGAATGCTGCAAAAACATCACTTTCAAACGTGTAAACTTTGCTTGCCAGGACAAGTTTTTTGGATAACCTGTTCTGGATGACCCTGCTTGAACAAGACAGCTGATGCAGATGACATCCAGAAGTTCTTTCCAACTTTAAGCATTCTATGATTCAGTGAAATATTTATTTCCCATTGGGCTACATTTTGGTAGTGTTTGTAAATGAACTGTGAATTTGTGCCTATATCTTTACTGGAACAAGCATGTCCATCATCATTTCATCCATCACCATTTTCTAAAAAGTCACCCAGATAGGCAACAGAGCAGAAGCTGTGTTTTATTGTCAGCCCAAAAAGCAAATGATATTCTAAGGTCTACTGATTCACTAGATTGTTGTTTTCCTTTCATGCATTCACAGAAACAGAGCTGTGTCCTGCAAATTAATGTTTAGGATACTGTAGATTTGAAAATATCCATGTACTTATGATTAAGGTTGTGTTTTACTTATCCTTTCTTATAAATATTAATTCAATAAAATAGTTTGAACTTAGTAGTTTTATAAATGCCTACAACTGAAGTTACAAACTGCAACTTACAAATATTACTGAGCATAGGTTGGAATACCTTAAATATATATGAAAAAAATCTACTTATTTCAGTTGGAATCAATTCTCAGTTTCAGTCTCTGAAAATGATCCAGTGCCTCCACTACAGTTTATCTACCAGCAGTCTTTTATTTACTCTGCTGCAGATGTTTTCTCTCAGCTCTTGACTTAGACCAAAGACAACTGCTTTCTTCCTGTCTGAGTCTCTGTATAGACAGATAGCAATAATTATTTAGTTGTTTTTATATTAGTGTGATGGATATATTTCCAAGGAAACAGTTAGGAATAGAAAATAAAAACCTCTTTATTAATTCCTAGGTGTGGAGACTCTCAAATAATCTGTGAATAAATATTAATCTTATTAATTTCCATTACCTATGCATGCCCTGTCTGCACTGTCTCACCTTCAATGAATATAATACACTTAGTAAAATATAATCTTCTTATCTAGGAAATGTACATCAAGCATATTTGGTGACTTATCTTATTCCACAAGATGATAGAGTTAAGATGACATTCGAAAGGGACAAGCATAGAATTAATATTTAAATAATATATGCAACCACAGCATATGTCGTGTAGAAAATACGCAAACATAAAGACATACTTACTTCCTGTGGGAATCAAATCTCTGTCTGGTATAAACAACTTGTATCCATAATGCTTTTCAAGCATATCTGGTAAGATCTCAAGAGCAAATCTTTCTTCTTCTCCAGTTTCTTGATTCCACTGATCAGGATCCACTTTGGTATAAGATAGATATGCATCATAGTCCTTGTTGTCTAAAAAAATACAAGGAAAAAACGAAATTACATTATTTGCTGTTCTTGCATATTGCTTAGATGATTGCCCAGGAATTATTCCTCAAAGAATTTCTCAGGAATGGTAAAATGCTTGGATAAAATAGCAAACTTTTACCCATTCTCCAGTTATTAAGCCATTCATCTTTTATGTTCCACCTAGTGGAGTTAATCCTTAATTACATGGATACAAGACAGAAGGGATCCATACCCATACACTGAACTCAGTTTGTGCATAAATATTTGTGTGAGGCTCTGCATGAAGGAAATCCACTCAGCTGTCTGGTGGCAGCTTGTGAGCACAGAAGAAAAGCCACTGAAAGAATCCAAATTATTTCCTAGCTTTAAAATAGAAAGGAAAAGCATGGAAATACCCATACAAATGAACAGTTCTTTCTCTTGTATTTAAAAATATTTATTTTTGTCAAATTTTCACTATAAATGTAAGGCTTAGAATGCTCTAAACATGTGCATACATTTACTTGTAAAATTCATTATTTTCCCAAGTCTGGGATTATTGCCAAACTTTGGTCTTTGTAGCATCAGATCCCAATTATGCAGTTTAAATATCCTGAATTCTATGTGCTTAAATATGCTAATTTAATGATACATTAATGTACGTTTTAGTCTTTAACAGTATATTATTTCATTTCAATTAAGTGAAATATTTGTGTCTGTATCTTAAATGTGCTTGGTGTGCTTACTTGAAAGACTGAATCAGAAAAGTCATCATTACTTTTCATTAAGAGGTCGATAATGCCAAGTGCTCTGGAACTAATTCAGTGGAATAAGAGGTCACATTTTGAATTTTGTTGTGAAGAATGCAGAAAAAAATCAATGGCAAGATTAATGAAATGTTACCAGCCTTCTAACCTTCTTGATAACATTATGCTCAGGCTATGGAGAATATCAATTGCTTGTAAAAGAGATGTGACTGAATACTCTACCATGTGGTATAAGCGATGCTACACTCTTCAATGCTGACTTCCCTTTTTTTCTCAGCCAATCTTTTTTTGATTTTGCATTTTTTTGTACTTTGGTTGTACTATTTGGAAAAGCCTGCCAAAAGTAGGAAGGGTGCAAAGTGTATGAGTAAAATTAAAGAGCAGGCACTAGTTTGAGTTGTCCATTCTTCCTTCCAAAGAACCACTCATATTTTGCTCATTCAAATCTGCAGAAGACAAAATTAAAATGGTAAAACTTTTTTCAAAGTTTCAAAACCAATGAAACGACCGTGGGCTTCATTTTCTCTTCTACACAATTTATCTGAAATTATATGTTGGAGTGTTTGTTCTCAAAAAAATAATGAACAGCAAAAACCAATACTACCAACAAACGAGATAAATAATGCCTTCCTCTGATCCATTATTTCATTATTTCAGTACTTCTGAAACCATAATCCTTCAAGATAAAGAAGCACCTAATGCCTCTGATATTGCCACTGAATGGATCAAATGCAAACAAGTGGGAGATTACAGAATAAGTTCTGACACTACAATAGGATAGTCTTAACACAACAATAGTGTTAACACATGGAAAGGTCAGGGTATATATGGGGAAGTCACCACAACTGACATGATGGTGTGGTCATGCCATTTTCTTTTCTTGCCTTAGTAATGGCCATAATGACATTACAGGCTTTAGAGAAGCATTAATCCATTGGAAACCTTTGAATAAATATGAAAATGTGTCATTTCTCAAAGGAATGAATCATAAAAAATAATGCAGCATTGAAACTGTTTTGAAGGCTTCAAGATATCGTCTGTGAAGACAGTTTGCACGTTCTTAATTTGAGGGAAACTTATTCACACTGTGCCAAAACTTTCTTGAGCACACAATTATGATTCTAATGCTTTTTTTTTTTTTAATAAATATAAATTTTCGTAACATGAAGGATCCAGCATTCCTACTGACTATAGCTGTGTTATCTGTGATTGCAGGGAACACTTCTTTCAACCCTAGATCCCTACTTTTAATAGTATTTGCAAGTGTAGGAGAGCCAAGATTTACAGTACATGTACACAGATGGGTTCAAGCAAACATGAATTTATTTAAACTCCAGTACAGCTAGATGCGTAGTCCAGTCTGGGAAACTGTTAGATGCTTTAGCACAGTGGTTTTCCTGAACTATCATACTCCCCATCTGTCAGTTATTTTTTAACTTTGTTGAAAAGTAGAAAGCTCAATTTACAGCAGAATTACTTTATGCAGTAATTTTGTTATCCAATGGGCTGGCGTACTGGCATAAGCAGACAATTCTAAAAATGTGAGATGTCTGGTATACACAGGGTATGATCACATCACTCCCATCTCCAGGAAAGTATTTTAACACAGAGTAGGTGACCTCTCTGAACGTGGTTTGTGGAACTGATGTCAAACTGATGTCAATGTTCTAAATGTCTATGTCTGTATTCTGATCTTCACTCTTTCTTTTTTTTTTTTTTTTTTTTTTTTTTTTTTAATGCTCTGTCTCCATGGACTGAGAGAGAGCCAGAAGCCATAGGGCTCTTGTGGCTGAGTCAAAGCCTGGCAGCTGGGGCACATATCTTGCCAGTCTTTTGGCCATGTCATGTGGAAGCAAGAGGCTCTGCAAACCCTTTTCTGTTGGGCTCTATTCTACCTTGGCCTTCTTTTGCATAAAAGCACATCCAGGCGACCCCAGACTCAGAGCAAGTATGCAGTAAATACACCGTAGCTTTCTGTTTTCTGAACTGCTCACTGGAACATACATTTTACACTTGAAAATATTTGGTTTCAGCATATCTTCCTTGTCCACAACAACCAAACAAACAAACAGAAACAAAGCAAACAAAATTTAATCAGAAATTTCCTAATCTTCTCCTAATTACAATCAAGTCACAAAGGACTTGATATTACTGTGTAATATGGTAATAACTAAATCCTTCCAGATTTTGGGTACATAATGTTGTCTGGAGCAAATATTTAGTTGTAGAATAGAAAGGCAAAAATCCAAAAGTGAAACAAATCTGGTAGCATCCCATACTTAATTTTACAAAGAGAATTTCCTCATTTTCCCTTGTCAGCAAATAATGAAGTCTTCTATCCAAGTATTCTCAGAGTGAAAATGTGACTGACTGTTGCTGCACTTTCTTGTTCAAAGATTTCTTGTTGTCAGGATCCTGTGCATTAGCAATAAGCAGGAATGTAGTTACTCACTGCCTGTTTCCTCCCTCAGGAAGAAAAATACCTGCTAATTATCAAATGCATGGATTTTGATCATTTCATCTGAAACTTTTCTTTTTCCTGTGGAGATTCAGAGCAATTTTCTACTTTTGTACCTGAAAGCATTGTTCTTCCCTTCTCTGTTTCAGGATTCTTTTTTAAATAAACATCAGAATAAATTCTTCTAGCTTTATATCCAGGTACTTTTCAGAGCTGTTTCATGCAATAGCTGTCCTTTAATTCAGTAAACACATCTGAGTATGGCATACAGTACCATACAGTGGCAATACTTTTTGCTGTAGATGGGAAGAGGCTTTTTTTACCTCTTCCCATTCCTAGTGAACAGACAAATAATCCTTTGTGGTTATGAGGTTTATACTTATTTTCTGCTGCTTACTAGGTGTCATACAACCAGGATGGAGCTCTTTAGCTCAACAGCCTCCATTAATTTAAAAGGCTGAAATGAAACATAAAACAGACATTGCACGGGCAAATTTAATGAAAAATAATAATAATTCATGGTTTCTTGTATGAGAATACATTGAAGCTCTGGATTAGTTTGGTACAGTGAGGTCAGACATGGCCCATGCTACAGGTACAATGCACGTCAGTCAACCAAAGACCACTTGTACTTCAAGACTCTGGTCAAACAGGCTGGGAAGTACAAACTTTGCTGTGGCATTTTAATTGTTGTATGGAGTTGAAAGTAAAGACACTGACTAGCGGTCTTGGGCTCAGGCAAAGGTCAGACAAAATTATTTGGATCAGTCTTAGGGGTAGACATTGAAGGTGAAATGCCAGATACATTAAAAACAAATGGAGACATGATTTCATTCAGTGGCTCAGGATTTTAGCCAAAACACCTGTTGCATCATTGCAACATTGCATTCTTTAATGCTGTTCATTTATTTCAGTGATCATCCAAATGTAGAAACGGTCATATTCCCTGTAAAATTCTAGAGGGTTAATGCTGCAGAAGTGATATAAATTTTTACAGGATGAAGTTGTAAATGCTGCTTGTTATTCTGAGGTTGTGCTCAGCAGCAGTCTTTTAAAGGCGCAATGTAAGCATAAAATGAAACCCAGACTCCATATGCATCTACTTTCCTCTTCTACAGGGACCAGCAGACAGACTCAACTTTGAATTTTTATTATATATATACATGTTTTCTAACAATTTGCATGTTGCCCTCCAAGGGGACGGCGGTTTGGACCTTTGAGGTTTCATTAACCTTAAGCATTGCAGCTATTTCTGCTAATGGAGTACAGAAAACCATATATAGATGAAAAATTAAAAATAGAAAAGTACCTCCATAAAGTTATTTTTTTCTTATCAACCATGTTCAAGCAGATGACAAGTCTGGATTCCCAGCTGGCATGGTATGTTATAGCACAAGACAGATTGACTGATCAAAATAAAGAGAAACACACAACACAGTATTTCATAGCGTCGATAGATCTGAATCTTATTTTAATGAAGCTGTACACCAGTCAGCCCATACCTTTGTGTGTTGTGTAATCTCCCAGAGTCATTAACAGCGACTTCAGAAATAGCCAGTGCTCCAAAGGGAGCTGACAACACATGTGCTGCTCTGCAGCCAGGAGTAGCTGGAGACACTTCTGGCTTTCCCAGATCTTCCCCTTGTGAATCAATGGAAGATTGACAGCTGATGTTCCAGAACATGTGTCAGCATTGTAAAAACTCAGGTATTCATCTAGAAGCAATGCACTGATTTAATCAGGTGTTTCAAGTGGGGTCCATAGAAATGACAGGCAAGTACAGCAGGGAACTGCTGTGA